GCTTCCATTTTTTTAAATGGATTTATTTCATTTGCTTGTATTTTGCATTTAAATGTTGCCTTTTATTGCTGTTTTGTAACTCTGTGAAGCACAGTGAGTTACTTTGTGGACGAAATGAGCTATATAATTAAGGCAGCCTTGCCTTTGCAGTTTTGAGGTGTATATTTCCATAAAAGTTTGTTTGTTGTTCAAAATGTACCACATCAATTTGTGTACCAAAAGTTACGAGAAAAAGGCACGGGCCAAAAAACAAAAACAAAAACAACAGGAATGACTCATTGTGCTGAAGTCTTGCACAATATGCCATGAAAATGAGCCGTTTCTTTCCACTTTGTAGCAATTTTTGTATTTTATTTCATTTTCCAAAATGTGTAACCTCAGGGGTGTTCAAATTTTGAGATTCCGCTGTACTGAGGTCCTCGGTGACCTCATCGCTGACTGCAGACGCGAAAACATGATCTCCATGCTCCAAACGTTCCCATGTTTTGATTGATGCCATGATTCACATAAACCCAATTCTGAAGCCTCAAAGAGAAAAGATCTTAAAGATGATTCACTTTTTTTTTAACCTCCCTTTTTTTTTTTTAAATATGGGATCATCTTTTATCTGGATATCTTGCTGTCAGGGGCAATAAAAGGCCTTTGTTGGGAACCCCAGACCCCAACTCCACGTGAGCAATATCTGTAATCTCACACTTCAAATACGAGTTAAGGGAAGCAGCGTCCACTTGGGGATCTGCAGGCTCTGACGCTGTCACGCATCCACCCCCCCCCTTCGGCTCAGGCGTACAGTCAAACGGCGTCTTGTGCGAGAGCTGCGGAGGAATGCCGCGTTTCTACAACAGAGCCATTGCATTAGAAACGTCAACAGAGCTCGGCGGCCCCGCTTCAAAGGACTTGGCCTTCACATCGAATCAATCCCTACTTCCATTAGATTAGGTGATTTTTACCAAAGTTACATAGCGCTAACATTTCTTCATGGCTTTTCGAATCCCTTGCTCTGGTTCTGGT